AGTGAGGCTCACGAGACGCTATGGAAACACTCCGCAGCCCATGGAGGGCGTGTGCGTGAGGGACAGCATGGCTGCTGTCGCCCGCTGTTCCAGTGTGGCAGGCCCCACGCCTGCTGGCCTCAGTGCACCGTGGCCAAGAGAGCACAGTGCCGCTGCCAGCAGGTAAAGCCCCGAGAAGCAGCCGCCACTCATTATTTCCGGGCTGCTCAGAACTGATTTTCCTGCCCCTGCCCCCACCCCTACCCTTGCCAGTGACAGTGTCAGGGGCCACAACTGGGCTCTCCTTTAATCACCTGAGCATCTCAGTGGGGAGATCAAGTCACGGCCAGGAGGGGTGGCAACCAGCAGAGCTCACCAGTGGCTAGAGCAATGTGCTGACCCCTCCCAAGCTCTGCAGAGAGAAAGGGGCAGGAATAGCCAGGACCAGAAGGCAGGAGGCGACAGTCAGGGCCAGGCTTGTCTCAGTCTAGCTCCCTAGAATCCCTCTCCTGAGGGACCCCTCTGCTGGGCCCACCCATGAAAGCCTCTGTGGACCCACACCAGCCAAGCGTGTGCTGTGACTCCAGGGACGGCCAAGAGGATGAGCCACATCCTTCTTTGGGATTGATCAGCTAAATCTAAGCTAAGCTGAGCTGCTGATTCCTCTAAGTAGCTCAAAGGAGGATGATGGGAGTATTAAGGGAAAGGAGAGAGGATCTGTGCAGAGGTGGGGAGGCAGAGTCCTGCAGGGCCCTTCTGTCCCTGCCCCTCCCTGGCTGTGCCAAATGGAGCTGGAATAGATGTGGGCAGGCTTGTCCTTAGGCTGTGTTGGCAATCGGGTTTGCAGCTGGACCCGCTCATGGTCTGGACTGCAGAAAAGAGTAACAAAGGGAGCACAAAAGCTCGGTCCAGGATCCTTGAAAGTGTTGGGTGTGTACAGGCCAAGGTTTCTCCTCCCCAGGCAGGTGCAGGCCAGACCTGCTATGCTCAATCTTAAAGAGCTGGGGCTTTCCACCTGTGACCCAGCTGCTGTGGCCAGCCAGCTCCAGCAACAGAGTGGTAATGCAAAGCACACCGGGTCAGAGGTCAGGAGATGTAGGCACACTGGGGCTTTGCCACCATGCTTCTGAGTGACTCAGTTCGTCTGTGACCCTGCCCTGCCTGTAAGGATTCTAGGATGGCACTGATGTGATATGATTTACAAATAAACACACCTGCTGTGATTCTTAGTAACAGTGAAAATAAGAGTTCTCACTGAGATTGGAAAAGAGGCCCAGGGTTCCTCAGATTCACCCAGGGCTCACCCAGGGATGAGGGGTTGGGAGGGAGAAGGCAGGGGGCCAAGTCAGTCAAAGGGGGTGCACTCCAGAACTGGCTGATTTCCTAGGTGACTTTGCATTCACCACTTAACCGCTCTGAGCTTCACGATGCTAATCTTTAGGAAAGGTAAATGATCCTGCTCAGAGTGTTCTAGGTACTTTTTTTTTTTTTTTTTGAGACAAAGTCTCGCTCTGTCATCCAGGCCAGAGTGCAGTGTGCGATCTCAGCTCACTGCAACCTCTGCCTCCAGGTTCAAGCAGTTCTCCTGCCTCAGCCTCCTGAGTAGCTGGGATTACAGACACCCACCATCCTGCCTAGCCAATTTTTGTATTTTTAGTAGAGACAGGGTTTCTCCATGTTGGCCGGGCTGGTCTCGAACTCCTGACCTCAAGTGATCTACCCACCTCAGCCTCCCAGTGCTGGGATTACAGGCGTTGAGTCAGTGTGCCCAGCCACGTTCTACATACTTCTGTGGTTCCAAGCATATCTCCAGCTCTGGGTCCACTTTAGGACAGAGAACTGTGGGGTCAAGCAAAGTCCTTCTGAATGTGCACAGAGCCTGGGCAGCCTAAGTCTCAGGGATCTACCAAGCTGCACAGCAGCAAACCCTCATTCTTTGACTCCCTCGGGCCCAACCAGACATGAAGCTGCTGAAGTCCTAGAGATCGACTTTTCCAGCTTGCTGATAGTTGAGTAATTTTCCAGAAACAGGACTTGGCCAGTTTCCCTGCATAAGGTACCAGCCCATCCCTCTTACATAAGAAAATAAGGATTGTTTATTCCCCCAGAGGATTTAAGAAGCCAGCTCCTCCAGGGCGGGGCTCAGAAGATCCCACAGCTGAAGTCCCCAGGATCAAGGGTCTTTGGCCCAGTCTGAGTGGGAATGAAGGCCCTGAGGGGAGGTTTAGCCCCACCAGGCATCTGGTTCGGGGGCTGAGGTGAGGATGATTGCACGCCTCTGTGGTCTGAGTTCCCTCAAAGTACTAAAATGGATTTGTGTGTGTTCAAGGGGAAGAGAGTCAGGCAGGTGCAGACAGAAGCAGTCTTAACTAGAAATACACTTACTAGGGTTTTCCTTTTTTTTTTTTTTTTTAAAAAGACTGTCATGCCGGGCGTGGTGGCTCACGCCTGTAATCACAGCACTTTGGGAGGCCGAGTTGGGGGAGTCATCTTGTGAACGGTAGGAGTTCCGATGACCCTTATCTCTGGCCATATCAGGATTGAAGATGTTCTTGTGCCAGGAGGGCGAGCGTGGGGGGGTGGTCACGCGCGAGTTGTGGGGTTGCGCAGGCAGGCTTTGGGGAGTTGGCAGGCGGGAGGACCGAGGAGGGGGTGTCAGAGGAGATCAAGGACCGATTGCGCTGGCTAAGGAGTGGTTCGAGCGGTGGAGATATTTGTCAGAGCTAATGAAAGTACAAAAAACTGAGCCGGTGAGCGGGAGTGGAGTGTGGATCGTCTTGCTGTTATGGCCGCGACAGTCAGAGGCGGATGCTGAGATAGGCATGAACGGCAGTGAGGTGGACTTGCGCAGAAACAGAGATCGTCCTTTTTGCACGTGCAGCTGGGCGGATAGGAGGCGGGCTCCATCTCTACAAAAGGATAAAAAAAAAAAAAGAAATTGCACTGAGTCTTCTACTAAACTCCATGGGGTGGAGCTCTGAACCCAGCTACTCGCGAGGGCGGGCAGGAAGTGCCACACTTGAACCATGGAGGTGGCGGAGGTGTGCGCGAGCAAAGATCGTGCCATTGCACTCCAGCCTGGGCAATAAGAGCAAAACATCCAGTCGTCGAGTATAAGAGAGAAACGAAAGGTGAACAGTAGTGGGTGGTAGTGGTGTTGTGAGACCCTCATCGCCAGGCCCAAGTGTAGTAGGTGTAATCATAGTCACTGCAGGCCTTGACCTGCCCCAGCTCAGAGCAATCCTCCACCCTCAGACTACTGATAGCCTGGGACTTATAGCACCACACCCCCTTGGGTTCCCAGCTAATTTTTCATTTTTTGTAGATATAGGGGTCTTACCTATGTTGTCCAGTGTTTTGGTCTCTAAGACTCGCTTGACTCGGCTGCGATCCTCGTCCACTTTGGCAGTTCGCCAAAAGGTCGGGATTAGCAAAGGACGTAATACGGCCGACTGTTGCGCGTGCGGGCGTGCCGTTATTGTGCAATAAAAATGTGCCTTCGAGAGAATTTTAAACATACCCGATGGGAAGTCAGATGCGCCTTTTCTTATCCCCATCCCACTCGTCCGCCCGTTGGGGGCTAACCATTCTTAACAGCTGGTACACATTTTTTCTTTCAGAATATTGTGATTGTCAATCTTTGTTTTTTGTTTTTGTTTTTTTTTTTTTGGAGACAGTGTTTGCTTGTTGTGTTGTGGGCGAGTGCTTGTGGGAGGCAGTGCTGCGATTCGATGCGGCTGGGACGTATACGCCGCCGGGGTCGCGCAGGGGTGTCTATAGCATTCTCTGGGTGCTCTGGGCATCAGTCCGTCTCGCGAAGTTTAGCTGGGATTTACAAGGTTTGCGCGATCCACGCCAGCTAGATTTTTGTATTTTTAGTAAGAGAGATGGTTTTCACCGTGTTAGCCGGAAGATGGTGCCGCAAGCTGCTCTATCCGTTCTTATGAGCGTGCCTGCCTTTGTGTCCTTCCTGTGGGTGGTGGTGTTGGTTTAATATGTCTGATGGAAAAATGGCAAGTTGGTGAGCACCACACTGGCCCAACATATAAAAAAAAAAAACCACAGGACCATACTGTGTATATTATTCTGCAAGCTGCTTTTTCCACTTAATATATTGTGGACATCTTTTCGTGTCAATACAGGAAGCTCTGATTGCCCTTTTATTTTTTATTTATTTATTTTTTTTGAGATGGAGTTTCACTCTTAATCTCCCAGGCTGGAGAGCAATGGCATGATCTCGGCTCACTGCAACCTCCACCTTCTGAGTTCATGCAAATCTCCTGCCTCAGCCTCCCAAGTAGTTGGAATTACAGGCACCTGCCACCATGACGGGCTAATTTTCTGTATTTTTAGTAAAGATGGGGTTTCACTATGTTGGCCAGGCTGGTCTTGAACTCTGACCTCAAGTGATCCACCCACCTCAGTCTCCCAAAGGGCTGGGATTACAGGCGTGAGCCACTCCGGCCAGCCCTGATTGCCCTTTTTAACAACAGCATGGTTTTCTCATCTATCTATTCAGTCCCCTGATGCTGGACACTTAGGTTGTCTCCAATTTGTCTGCCATTATAAATAATCCTGCAGAGAATCTGGGTGGCCTTGTCCAATTATTTCCTTTGGGAAAATTCTGGAAGTGGAATATCTGGACCAAAGGGCCCGCCCTGTGTGTGGAGATGGCCTGGGTTCTGCCTCCCGTCAGTGGTACATGGTCAGGGAAGGCCTTGCGCTGACTTCATCTCACGCCACCGTGGGCTACTTGACCTCTCCCTCCCAAAACCAGACATCACCATGGGCAACTTGAGGTTATTCCCCATCAATCTCGATCACTAGTGGTCCTTATTCTTCTTCCCTGCCCTCTACATGACAAGAAAACATGCCAAAAACCTTTCTCTATGTTCCCACCCCAACGCATCAGATATAATGAACAGGAGAACTTGGAGCTGTAAGCCTACAACAATGAGGCTTTAAGTTACTGAGATCAGGGCTGTTGGTCCTCACCACTGCTGAGACAGAGCCTTGCTTACCCGAAACATATCTCCATTGACTGTGGTCCCCATGTCCTCAGAACCAGCTGGAAAGAGAACAAGGAGATAGCATTACTCACTGTTTAACTTATAGCAAGCAGGAAATGGTCCTACATTAGCCCCTCAACTCAAACTCTGTGTACACTCATGTGTATATTGACCCACATATAGCAGACATAACGGATATATATATAACTTAGGCTCAATCCCATCCCTGACTGTTTACAAAGCCTCTCACAGCCATTAGCACATTTTATTTTCACCACAGCCCTGCAATGAAATTGTTGTCAACCCATTTTACAGATACTCAAGCTGAGGCTCAGACAGGCCATGCGATTGCTCTAAATCACCCAGCCAGTAATAGCTCCTTACCTACCCGAAATCACCGACCCCTGGCCATGGCTGGGAATGGCCAGATTACCTGTGGAGCCTGTGCTGGTGAGTAGGCTGAGCTGCTGTAAGCTCAGGGTGGGGGCTATACTGGATAAGGAAAAGAGGGGCCTACGTGTCTCTGCCTGTCCCTGAGGTGCCTTAAGCAACTGCCCCTCCTGGGTGAGCAGGAGTTGCAGTTCCCACCAGACAGCACCCGGCACATTTTTTCTCTTTGTGACCTTCCCAGAAGGAATGAAGTTTGCCCTCAGCAGTGACTCCTCCCTGTCCCTTTCCTTGACATCTGATTAGTCACCAATTCCTGGGGCTTCGGCTACAACAGTGACATTCACAGCTGCCCTCCACTCTCTCCCGCAGCTCAGCCCCAGGCCCGGCCCTCAGCATCTTGCACCTGCACAACTGCTTTGCCTGCTAAATAGGGGCAAACAGCTGGGAAGACACAACTGTGTCTCTTTCTCTTCTCCTGTGTCTTTCCGAGAGACCTGCACGCACTTGTGCCTTTGCAGGTGCGCAATCATTATCTGTTGAATAAACAAGTAAATAAATGCATGAAAGAAAGACAACGAATGCACGGCTTTTGCCCATTCACAGGCCCCCTTGACTCCAGCCTCTCCCATCCCTCTTTCAAACCAACTGCCAGGGCTGACAGTCCGTAAAACATGCACTTACCTGTGCCTCTCCTCTGACTCAAAATGTCATGAAAACAAACTCCAAAGAAATCCACTTCCCATGGACCACAGTGGCCTGTAGCGCCTGCTCCTGCCTTGGGGACTTTGCAGGTGCTGTTCCCTCTGCCTGGAAGGCTGCTCCCTCACTCCCTTCAGCTTCTGCTCAAATGCTGCCTAATTAAAGGCCTCCCTGACCACACCCCCATCCACCCCTTGGACACCCCTTCCTATTCCTCCAGCAGTATTAAGCGCACTTACTACAGCCTGCTGTTTATTTGTCTGTGTGTTTATTATCTGTCTTCCCCCATCCAACAGACCCTCCATGAGGGTGTGGACTTGCTTTCATCCATGATGGGGCCCACCACCTGCAACAGTCCCTGGCACATGACAGAGACTCAATAAATATTTGCCAGATGAATACATCTAACCTGGAACATGAGGATCTCTACAACCTGGCCCTGCCCTTTCCTGGCTCACTTCCCACCAGCCCATCCCACAAACCCTAAATTCTGGTTTCCTCCTTCCCCAAACACACCACCCTCATCTCCATGCTTTCGTCCTGCTTCCCTCTCTAAAGAACGCTTTTTTGGATCCATTTATTCTCCAAGGTGCAGCTCGTAAGTCACCTCCTCTGGGAAGCCCTCTTCTGCTTCCTCTACTTCCCTAGGCACTTATGGTAGGTCTCACTTTTGGGGTATTCCAGGATATCATACAGTATCCCCCACCCTCTTGTGCAATTACTTATGATCCCCAGGGTCCGTGTGTACCCCGTTACCCGGTTCTGTGTCCTACTCAGCTCCTCAGGGTTCCAGCACGGAAGGGGTGAGCAGTGACTGTTGGCTAAATGCAAATTGAATTGTTCTTTTGAGGCCTGCTGTTATCTGCAAGGCTCTCAGAAACTGCCGTGCCTCCTAGCAAAAAGCCATGGAGGCCACATGAGGTTATGAGGCAGATAGTCAAACAGCCCTTCACCAGCCAGAGAGGGCTGTGAGCAGCGACAGTGTGTTTGGCCTGGGGACTGAAGGGAAGGACACTTAATCCCATGGAAATAATCCCCGGGTGACATAAATCATAATTGACTTTACTTTCAGAGTCAAACAGTGATGGATTCCAACCAACTCTGTCAGCTGTCACCCCTACTCCTTCAGATAAGGCTTCTCCTGCATGGGTGTCCTGGCCCCTAAATCACAGTGGGACCAATAGGGTTTCAGTGGCAGCATCTTCCGCAAAGGGGCTTCTTCTGCAGGGCCGTCTCCTCTAGCAGGGCCTCACGTTACCAGGGTCTGTCTATTTCCTGGGATGCCGGTCAGTACACTTGGCCTTCTCAAGAAATTGCACCACTCCACTCCGCCCTGACCAACCCCAGTCTCAGACCCCACATCTGCACGCAGCTGCCCGCAGTCTACCCTGACCGACAGAAAAAGTCTCTGCCCAGCCTCAGCCTCCAGAGTGTTCCTCTGGAGAAGCCGTTTCGGCCTCCTCGGGAGTCCACACACACCCACACAGCGTTCCAAGTACCTGTTCCCACAGGGCTCTCCACCCGCCCACGGCACATCTATCACCGGGAGTCCACACTCACAGGCCGGCAGAACAGGACTGAGGCAGAGGCACGTCCCGGGGATAAACCCCTGGGTGTTTGCTTCCCTCAGCTGCCTGGCCCATTTTGGAACAAGGGCAGAGAGGGTCCAGAACATTCCTGTGAGCTTGCTGAGGCCCAGCGGGGGAAATGGGCTTGCCCAGAACTGACAGGCAAGTCAGAGCCAGGCCTGGTGCTCAGAAAACTGGGTGTGAAAATGGAAACCTACCCAAGGCTGATGAATGGAAACAGTGTCCATCATCCAGATCACCCAGGGCCACAGGCCCCGCCAGAGAGGAGGGGCTCCCTGCAGCTCCAGCACAGGTCTACAGCAGATCCCTCTTTCCCCAGGGGCACCTGAGCCCAGTGGCAGCACAGAGACTGCTAATCTGAGGACCCCAACATCCAAGAGAAGGTGTCTCAGAGGTACTGACTGGCGGCTGCTGCTAGAGCCAGTTTTTGCTCAACTCCCAGCAGGCCAGGGCGCTTTTTCTCTGCCCCATCCAGGCTCCTGGCCCACATCCCTGGTCAGGGGAAGATCACCTGTTCAGCACTGCGTAGGCTGAGAAGGTCAGATCAATTCTAGTCCATCTGGCCACCCACTGAGCCACCATCCCTCAACACCTCTCTGTTCCCCGACCTGACTAAGGAGGGCAGCTGAGGCTTTGCAGAGTCAGCAGGTATGTGCCTGGGAGACCCTCAGAAGGCTGTGTCCCCACCAGCTCCCTGGAAGAAGCAAGCATGTCTGTTTCTCTCCCTGTCACCTCGGGTCTGAGGCCAATCTGTGCCCCATCTCTGCCAAAGACAGAACTTCCCATCCAGGCTCTAAGCCCCCGGAGCCCCATCGTCCTGGGAGAGGCCACAAACTGCTCAGCTGCCAGAGGCGTCTGGCTGCCCTCGGCCTGAATCCCATCTTCTCTCTCCTGAGGTTCTGGCAATGGCTCCCCTCAGCAGGACCTCCCCACAAGGCCTCCCTCCTCTTCCCTGCACCCCTCCCCCAGCAGGCCCCAGGGAGCCAGACTGAAGAAAAGGGTGGTCTCACAGAGGTGTGGACCAATGAATACTGGTGCATTAACTGGGGCAGGCATTTCTCAGGAATTCCCTGGGACAGGGCAGGGAAGCCCTCCATTGCTGTCTCAGACAGGTGGCAAAAGACCCAGTGCTTCTCGCCCCACATCCTATCTCCTCCCAAGGAGGTGACTGCTACACATATTTTTTTTAAAGACAGGGTCTCACTGTTGCCCAGGCTGGAGTGCAGTGGCATGATCACAGCACACTGCAACCTACCTACACCTCACGGACTCAAGCGATGCTCCTGTCTCAGCCTTCCCGAGTAGCTGGAACTACAACTACAGCTACATGTCACCACGCCTGGCTAATTTTCCTATGTTTTGTAGAGATCGGGTTTCACCATGTTGCCCAGGCTCCACAGCATTTGAAAGAGAATGGAGCCCAGAGTTGGGAGGTGTGGGATCAAGCCCTACATCGGTCACTCCTGGCTGTGTGACTCTGGGCAAGATACTCAGATTCTCTGGGCCACCAGTTTCTTGCATGTTACAAAAGCCTGGTTACATTTCTCTTATCAAGGAGATACAGAGATGCTTCAAACTCCTCAGCCACAGGAACTGTCTTATTCATTTCTGTATCCCTAGTGTCCTGGTACACAGTAGGTGCTCAGCAAATGTTGAATGAATACAAACATGACTGTGAAGAGACTTATAAACATCATTAACCAAAATATATCTATATGTATATATGTCAGCACTATTACAACAGGCCCATAAACCTCTCCAAAATGACATTAACAGGAAGTAAAACCTGTTTTGGATGCACCCATGAAGGTGATATCTACTTTTTGGTTGTTTGTTTCTTGAGACGGAGTCTCACTCTATCACCCAGGCTGGAGTGCAGTGGTGCGATCTCAGCTCACTGCAAGCTCCGCCTCCCGGGTTCACACCATTCTCCTGCCTCAGCCTCCCAAGTAGCTGGGACTACAAGCACCCGCCACCACACCCGGCTAATTTTTTGTATTTTCAGTAGAGACAGGGTTTCACTGTGTTAGGCAGGACGGTCTCAATCTCTTGACTTCATGATCCACCCGCCTTGGACTCCCAAACTGCTGGGATTACAGGCGAGAGCCACCGCGCCCGGCTGATACCTACTTTTTTACTAAATATTTCACAAAATCATTCTTGCTAGCTAGAACCAGGGCAGGAACATCATTGATAAAGATGATCTCTCAGGGACGAGGCATGAACTCTGAAGCCTGAAGCCAATTACAGTAAATCATGATAGCTCCGGACCACCTTTGGAAAACCATTAAGTCGACAACTACAAAACCCTGAAGGGCCCTACCGCATCTGACTGATGCCTCTTTGCGGCCCATACTCCGATGTCTAACTCAGAGCCAGACACTTGGAAGGCAGTGTGGTCAGATGGAGAGGGCTTCGAGTCTGACAGAAATAGGTTTAAATTCACGGCCAGGTGTGGTGGCTTACACCTGTAATCCCAACACTTTAGGAGGAAGATGTGGGAGGATCGCTTGAGCCCAGGAGTTCAAGACCAGCCTGGGCAACACAACAAGACCCTATCTCAAAAAAAGGAAAAGAAAAAATATATAAAAAATAAAAAGAATCAGGTTTAAATTCTTGATCTGCCACTTATTAGTTATTTCAATAGCATACCCCTTTGAGTCTCAATTTTACCATCTCTGAAATGGGTTCAGTAACGTGTATGAAGTGATTAAATGTAACCAAGGCGCTTAGCCCAGCGACTGCCGAATGGCAGGTGGTCACGGGGGAAGGTTAGTGACTTCCTGGAGCACCCAGGGTCCTCTTTTTTCCCAGCTGCAGGAGAGAGCTAAGCCCGAGGGGCCAGGAGGGCTGTGTTCTGCCCACACCTGCACACTTAGCTGGGAGCCTGGGACAGCCAGACTATTAGGAGGCTCAGGAGGGACTCTCAAAACTGAGCTGGGGTTGGATTCCAGAGCCGGGCAGCGGGGAAGCTGGCCTGGGGATGAAATGTCATGACCGAATTCCTGTCCCGGGAGTCACCGGATCCACAGCCCCAGGGGAGGCCTCATCCCCAGCTCGGAAGTGCTACATGGAGAGCTCCAAGAAGATTCTTCCCCACGTCCCCCAGCTCCTGCCCCGGCTGGCCTAGAGCAGGCTCTCTACCCTGTGCCGCTGGGCCCCGGCCGGGGTCCCCCGGGTGCGCGCCCTGAGCCCCGCTCCAGGCCCCGCGCTGACTCACCCCCACTCGTGGGGCCCAGCTGCGCGGGGGCCGCGTGGCTGCCGGCAGATGCCCCGAAGCCCTCGTCGTTCTCTATGCCTGCAATCTCGCTCTCCTGCTGGGCCAGGAAGGCGGCCGCCGGGTCCTCCTCCGCCGCCTCCGGGGCCCCGCTCTCCGACGACGAGAAGAAGCCAAAGTCATCAGCCATTTTCCCCGCGCCTCCGCCGGAGCCTCCGCTGCGCTCGGCTCTGCCCGCGCCTGCCCCGCGCTGCGACCGGCGGCCGCGACGCTGTCACCCGAGCCGCGGGGAGCCGGCTTCGGCGGGGACGAGCTTGGCGCGGACCGCACTTCCTCTCCGCCACCGGGCCCGGCTGGCTGTCACTGCGGTGCGGGCGCCGCGGCGGGAGGAGAGGAGCCGGAATGCGGTGACGTCAGCGCGGGGGCGGGGCCGCAGTCGCAGGGCCGGGAGGTCGCGGAGCAGCGGCCGCAGGAGGGCGCCTCAGGACTGGGCGCAGCGCTGGGCCCGGGACCCGCGCGGCGCTTCCCTCTCTCCGCAGCGGCGCCCAGCTGCTCGTGTCCAGGACACCAGGGCGAGGCACAGCTCCCGCCCGGTCTGGAGGCGAAGCGCAGGGCACAAAGTGGCCGTTCTGTGCACTGGGCCGCGACAGGAGGCCAGCTCTGGCCTCGGGAGTGCAGACCTGGCTCCTGATTCATTCTGCAAAAGTTTCTTCTCCTAAGCTGGGGTGTCATGCACCTCATTCTATGAGCCTCCGCCTCTGTAAGAGGAGGAAAATTGAGGCTGGGAAAGGCTGCCCCGCACCTTTTCATGCAAGTCCAGGTCCTTTCCCACTAGGCCGTGTTGTTTTGTGCGTTTTTTGTGTGTATCTCCCTTGAGGAGGCTTCAGTTCATACCACCAGAGTTTGAATGGCCCGGCTGGACCCCTTAAATGTCCTTTAGGTATGAACCAGCCTGAGAAAGGCAGACCTGGTTTATCCAGACAACCTGCCACTCTCCGCCGCTGCCCGCTGCCCTCCGTGAACAGGCTCTGAATGCCTCCTCCCTGCCTGCGCTTTGCCAAGCACCAGGACAGCAACGTTTTATAAAATCCAGCCATGGCCATGCGGAGATTACAATCCAGTGAGACCAACAGACGGCAAATGGTATGTCAAGGCTCTGTGTGTGAGGCGCTGTGACATTTAAACACGGGGTACAGGGAGACGATGCAAAGAAACACCATGGGATTTGGGCTGTCTGCTATTTCTAATGTAGGACTTGAAGGGCTACTATGAAATATGGACTGGAAGAGAGAAAGGAAAGATGTGCCCCCACACTGGGGGTAGAAGTGGAGTTGGGGTGAAGGGAACTTCCAGGTTTTGTTTTTTTCTTTTTAATTTTTTTATTTAGAGATAGGGCCTCGCTATATTAACTGAGCTGGTCTTGAACTGCTGGCCTCAAGGGATCCTCCTGCCTTGGTCTCCCAAAGCACTGGGATTACAGGTGTGAGCCACCAAGCCCAGCTGGAACTTTCAATTTAATTGGTAACACCTTGAGAACCTTTTGATGTTACTGGTTTTTTGAGGTTTTTTTTTTAATTGTTTTATTTAATTAAATTAATGTATTTATTTATTGCTGTCTATTTGCATGAGTTTTTGTTGTTGGTATTTGTTTTTTGTTTTGAGGCAGGATCTTACTCTTGCCCAGGTTAGAGTGTAGTGGCACGATTATAGCTCACTACAGCCTCAACCCCTGGGCTTAAGTGATCCTCTCATCCTCAGACTTCCAAACAGCTGGAATTACAGGCATGAGCTTTTTGATTGGTCTTTTTGATGTTATTGTAAGTGGAAGTTTTGTCTTCTTTTTTGGTTGCTTATTGTTAATGCATAGAAATTTAACTGATTTTTGTGCATTGGCTTTGATTCCTACTGCTTTGCTAAATTCATTTATTACCTCTAACATTTTTTGTGTGTGTGGAATATTTAGGGTTTTCTACAGATAAGAGCTTATTAGCCAGGTTCCATGGTTCATACCCGCAATCCCAGCACTTTGGGAGGTGGAGATGGGTGGATAGATTGAGCCCAGGAGTTTGAGACCAGTCTGGACAACCTGGCAAACCCCATCACTACTAAAACTACAAAAAATTAGCCAGGCATGGTGTTATGGTGCCCATAGTCCCAGTTACTCAGGAGGCTGAGGTGAGGGAATCACCTGAGCCCGGGGAGTCAAGGTTGCAGTGAGCCATGATTGTGTCAGAGGCGTGTGGACCAGAGCAAGTCCATCATAAGCAGGATCTGGGTAAAATGAGGCTGAAACCTACTGGGCTGCATTCCCAGATGGTTAGGGCATACTCAATCACAGGATGAGATAGGAGGTCAGCACAAAATACAAGTCATAAAGACCTTGCTGATAACACAGGTTGCAGTGCTGGGCACAGTGGCTTACGCCTGTAATCCCAGCACTTTGGGAGGCCGAGGTGGGTGGATCATGAGGTCAGGAGATCGAGACCATCCTGGCTAACACGGTGAAACACCATCTCTATTAAAAGTACAAAAAAAAAAAAAATTAGCCAGGCATGGTGGCAGGTGCCGGTAGTCCCAGCTACTCAGGAGGCTGAGGCAGGAGAATGGCGTGAACCCGGGAGGCGGAGCTTGCAGTGAGCTGAGATCGCGCCACTGCACTCCAGCCTGGGCAACAGAGTGAGACTTTGCCCCTCCTTTACTTTCTTAATAAACCTGTTTTCTCTTTGCACCAAGGACTCACCCTGAATTCTTTCTTGCATAAGATCCAAGAACCCTCTCTTGGGGTTACCCCTGTCCTGTAACAATCACACCACTGCACTCCATCCTGGGCAATGAGAGTGAGACCCTGTCTCTAAATAAATAAATACCATCTGCGAACAGAGATACTTCTTCCTTTCCAATCTGAGTTGCTTTTATTTCTTTTTCTTGCCTAATTTCCCTGGCTAGGACTTCCAGTCCTATGTTGAATAGAAGTAGCAAAAGTGGGCATCCTTCTGCACAAGTTGTCCAAATCAAACTGGAGTCACTTATGCCAAACCCTAACAAAATGAACTCAGGAGGCTGAGGAGGGGCTTCCATGCACACACGCCTATGACAGAAAATATTACAAGGACTGTCTGAGGCTGGACACGGTGGCTCATGCCTGTAATCCCAACACTTTGAGATGCTGAGATGGGTGGATCACCTGAGGTCTGGCGTTCAAGACCAACCTGACTAACATGATGAAACCCTGTCTCTACTAAAAATACAAAATTAGCCGGGCATGGTGGCACACACCTGTAATCCCAGCTACTCAGGAGACTGAGGCAGACGAATCACTTGAACCTGGGAGGCAGAGGTTGCAGTGAGCCGAGATTGCCCCATTGTACTCCAGCCTGGGCAACAAGAGCAAAACTCTGTCTCAAACAAAAACAAAAACAAAGAAACAAACCAAAAAACCCAACACAACAATAAAAAACAAGGACTGTCTGAAACCACCATCTTGCACAAAGGTCGTCACACCCATGCACAAAGAATATTTCTGCAAGGACACCTGTCCAGCAATTGCTTGTTCAATATTGGACTAATGCTACCCTTGTTATCAATCCTTGTAGCCAAGGATAATTTTTTCAAAACAACTAATGTAACCTTCCTCATTTTGCCTTTAAAACCCCTTTCCTTTCTTTTTCTCTCTGAGTGCCCCCCCCAATGGTTCACCATGGTACATGTATTCCCGGGGATGCAACTGTAAACAAAAAAGTATCTCAGATAGGTCTCCATCAATTTAGAGGTTTATTTTGCCAAGGTTGTGCATGCACCCAAGAAGAAGAGACACAAGACAGTACGATCTGTGGCATGCACTTTTTTCCAAAGAAGATTTTGAAGACTTCATTATTTAAAGGGGAAAAATGGGCAGGAGGGGAAAGGAGAAAGGGAAAAAAAGGGAAGGTAGACAAGTGAGATAAGCCATTGCATTCTTTTGAGGCTTTGATTAGTGCTCACTGAATCCACATGTTCCATGTGAAAAGGACAGGGTAGAGGAATAGTCAATTACATATCTTACACTCAGTAAATCTGTACATAAGATAAACAGAGAGTAGAGGAAGAGGTCAAATATGCATTTTTCTGAGGGGTATATGGGGGGATGATTTCTAGTCTCCTTTTGTCCCGCACCTGTGAAGATAACCTGTTAATTTACATTGTCAAGGTGAGGGAGGCCACCAGGGGAGACATGTGGCCTTCTATCTTATACCTATCTGTTTAGGAACAAAAGGTAAGGCAGCTTTTTGTGTGGCTTAGTTTCCAAGCTTAACTTTTCCTTTTGAATAGTGAGTTTGGGGTCCTGAGATTTTATTTTCCTTTCACACAATCTGATATGGTTTGGCTGTGTCCCCTCCCAAATCTTATCTTGAATTCCCACATGTTGTAGGAGGGACCCGGTGGGAGGTGAATCATGGGGGCAAGTCTTTCCTGTGCTGTTCTTGTGACAGTGAATAAGTCTCACAAGAGAGTTCCCCTGAACAAGCTTTTCTCTCTTTTTGCCTTTTGCCATCCATGTAAGACATTACTTGCTCCTCCTTGCCTTCCACTGTGATTGTGTACCTCCCCAGTCACTTGGAACTGTAAGTCCACTAAACCTCTTTCTTTTGTAAATTACTCAGTCTCAGGTATGTCTTTGTCAGAAGCGTGAAAATGGACTAATATACAATTTGTCATTCATTCCCAAGTAATCTCATTTTTTCTTAGAGCCACTGTATCTGTTGTTATTTTAGGTTGACTCTCTCCTTGCTCCTGATCCCAGTGGATGAGCTTTCAGTCTTCCACCATGGAGTATGATGTTTGCTGTGGATTTCTTTTCTTTTCTTTTTTATAGAGCTGGGTATCACTATGTTGCCCAACCTGGTCTCAAACTCTTGGGCTTAAGTGATCCTCCTGCCACTGCCTCCCAAAAAGTGTTTGGAATTTATACGTATGAGCCACCATACCTGGCCAGATTTTTCATGTATGGCTTTTATTACATTATATAACTACCTTCTGTTCCTACTTTATTGACTGTTTTAATCATGAAAGGGTGTTGAATTTTGCCAAATGATTTTTCTGCTCTGTTGAGATGATCACGTGTTTTTTAAATTAATTCGGTTAATGCAGTACATTACATTGATGATTCTTGTATGGTGAACCACTCTTGCTTTCAGGGTATAAACCCCCTTGGTCACAGTACACAATCCTTTTATCATGCTGTTGAATTCAGTTGCTAGTATTTTGCTGAGGATTTTTGCATCAATGTTCACAAGAGATAATGATCTACAGTTTTTCTTTCTACTAGTGTCTTCTTTTCTTTATGCTATTACTGGGACTTGTAGTGTCTTTATTTGGCCTTGGTGTCAGCATAATGCTGGCCTCATAGAAAGAGTTAGGAAGTGTTCTCTTCAATTTCTGTCAGAAGTTTGAGAAGAG